AGGAAGCATTACGAGTAACATGACAAACTTAAAATACCTATAACAACTGATCATGAAATACTCCTTCAAATGACTCGTACTTCTTTACGTACAAAATTATCTCTTGAAAATGCTGACATTCTCACTGATGTTCGTATTTTTTATTCTTTCATCACACAAATTATTTGTTTTCAAAAAAATAGATTCTTGTTGATGCTATATTAGCTCTGAATCAACCAGATCAACCAAATGATTTAAACATGGTTGAAATTATGGAGATCCAACATCGAACTGAAGGTGATTCATGTCTTGTACGCGGTATTGTTCATGATTATGGTGTTCGTCATCCATCGATGTCTAAAGCACTTAAAAATGCTTATATATTAACTTGTAATATTTCAATGGAATACGAAAAAACGTATGTGATTAATTGAAATAAGATTTGGCTTTTTTCTAGAGAAATTAATACTGGTTTCTTTTATAAAAATACTGAAGAATGTGATCGTCTCGTTACATCTAAACGTAAATTTATTAATGATCGTGTTCAAAAAAATAGTTGAATTTATACGAAAAGTTTGTTCGGGTAATGATAAAAACAAATCATTTGTTATCATCAATTAAAAAGGTATTGATCCAATCTCACTTTATGTATTGACCAAAGACCAAATCTTGGCATTAAGACGTGCTAAACATCGAAATATGGAACGGTTAACTTTAGCATGTGGTGGGGAAGCTATGAAGTACAAAAACATGAGTATCTTTAAATGATAGTTTCAATTCTTTTTCTCAATTAGTTCTATTGACAATTTAACAAAAGAATGTCTTGGTTTTGTCGAAGATGTTTATGAACATGTTTTGGTAAATGCTTTTCATTTGAGTTTATTTTTATGTTTAAAACGTTTGTTTAGGGTGAAGGAAAATATACATTTGTTCAAGGTTGGAAAGATTCCAGATCAGCTACAAAGGTTCAACAATATATATATTAAATCAATTGAAAGATGCTCTTCAAGGTGGTCTTCGCTCAATAACAAATGCAATTGAATATTTCTTCTTTTCAATTCTATTTATGAAAGACGATTTCAAAGGAACAGAGCTGGAAAATTCAATTCGATTCATAAATCGATTTCAATTGAATTGACAAAAATCTTTCAGAATCCACGAATTGAGTTATAAAATTAATAAAGAAACTTATTGAAATCTTTTCGGAAAACTAAAATTTGTTTTTCTATATCGATGGTAATTAGACAAAAAAAACAATTGAAGAAGCAACATAAATAATTCAACATCATTGTACTTTAAATGATCTTTTATGTATATGTCAAAAAATCTCAACAAAAGTTTATATTAATCACTTCGATCTAATACATCCACCACTTGGTGTTGATAAACAAAAAATCATTGAAAATTTAATTAATTCATTTTAGATTAATTTTCAGCATTATTCAAAGCATTTATTAACTCAATTTTAGTTCATCTTTGTTCAGTGAAAAGTATCTTGTTGAGATACATCAAAAACTTTATCTATGGCCGAGGCACTTCCATTGGAAACATTGGAATCAAAGATAATTGGTCACTTAGTTGGTCATTATCAGGTTGATGATCAAGTTGCAAAATCGATTTTCGATGCAACGATAAATTTATATCATCGTGTTCCGACGATAACCGATTTAAATGAATTAAATTCCATTGATAAACGAATGTTATATCGTTTAATCTATATCATTTGCGATTATTGTGATGATACACGATCGACAAAGTAGATATTTATATCCTAAAAAAAAATCTTCTTCATTTTTTTCATTTTTAGAGTGTATTTTAATGCTATGATGTTTATTTTCAACAATGGTAATGCCGATGCTGAATATGCGTTTAACCAATGGTTAGATCATGAAACACAAGTACAAAATATTACCAAGGGATTAAAAGTCTTGATCTACTTTCTTGAAGCTTTACGAGAATATTTTGTGAGTAAAACATTATTGAAAAATACAAAATAAATCAATTTTTTTTGGATTATTTTAGAAAACAGTAAATGTTCAATCGTACGATAACTTCAAGAATATATTTAAATCGATCAATAATAATATCCGTTTACTCGATGATGTAATAAAAGAAAAACGACGAACTGACCGAATGCCAATGATTAATAAAGTAAGAAAACATTTTGTACTTCTAATCATTTATTTTTTTTTGCTGTTTTAGATCAAAAATAATTTTGATTCATTTATGTAAGTATTCATTAATTTAATTTATCTATAATTATTAAAATGTAAATGTTGTTTTTAGGAGTGAACATCGAATAACACTCTCCGTAAGCTTTATTTGTGTTTTTTTTATTAATCTTAAATTATTCTTAACGATAGGACAGTGACAATGGTGACAATGATGATAATGCTGATGAAGGCGATTGATCGTGATGGTATTGGTTCAAAAACTGATTTTTTTTTGTTTTTTTTTCTTTGTCAGATGATTTCTTACATTATGATTTTTTTTCAGATTAAAATGAATATAAATGATGTTCCACATCATGTTTTATATAATATATGTAAATATTTATCTTTCGTCGATGTCATTAATTTATCAAAAACATGCAAAAAATTCTATATGTTAATTGAAAATAATGATTATTTTTGGATGATGTTAATTCAAAATCATTTTGGATCGAGATTATATCATCGTTATTTTAATGAAATATTTCAAAACAAGAAAAATTCTGCTTATGATTTATATCGAACAGAAGAAGATATACAAAAGTTTCAAAAATGTTTTCGACGACATTTAGAGTGGGAAATGTGTAATATTTGGTTATGGAATGTATTAAATGGTAAAGATAATAGTGATGGTTATATAGCTTATAAAAGTATAATTAGACAAAAACGACGTCCACGTACAAATACATTAAAAATGTCTTTAACAATTGAAGAATTCTATGAATCTTATTTGAATAGAAATAAATATTTAAATGATGAAAATATTCGACAAATATCAATGTGTAAATTAATTTATTATTATTTTATTGAAGCTAAACGTTTATTAGGTGTTGATTTGTCTGGCATAGATCTTCGTTGTACACCATGTCATAGATCCTGTCCCGTGCGAAAATATCTAAAGCAGGAATATTTAAATCATGAATATGATCCAAATAGTTCAGCAGGTCGATGTGTCCGTTTATATACAACTCGATGGATGGATTTAAGTGGTATAAAAGGTAAATTTAAATCAATATTACCTGGAATCTATGAAATTGTATGTCGTATTAAACTGGATAAGCACAATAACTATTTAGCATACTATAATGAATGTTGTAGTGAATTTCAGGAAGCGGAAAAAGAAATAGAATGTTATTTTTATGCTTTAGCTGATCATGGTCTTGATTGCGAATGTAATCGAGAAAAAATGAATTTTGATTGGTTTGAATCAAACTATTTATTATATGGAAATACTAATTGGTTTAATGAAACAATGGGTAAAATCAAAGTATTCGAATTATCGGATATTTATTTTGGCTTTCGAATTAGATTTGGTTACGGTTATCGCAATATTTTATTTGACTATATACAATTAAATATTATTGAATAATATTCTTTATGTTTTTTTACAATGTAAAATTGAATTGTTTAATAAATATTGTAAATTTTAATTATCTTGATTCTTTTCATAGTTATTTAATATGCCATCAATATTCAAATTTTAGAAAGTTTTCTATTTAATCATATAATATAGAATTTGCTTACTAGGAATGAGACCGTTTATCACAATCAATATAGTATGAAGTGGATTTTTAGTAACTATGCTTAAGAAAAACCATCTGTTGAAATTCTATGGTGATTACAACATGGAACAAGATGAGACTACTTTTGTTATAAATGAGAACATCGAGCAGATGATCTCTTTGAAAAGAACATACCATAAGAAAATTTGTATGAAATTCTCTATTCTTCAGCTTCTCTTCTCTATTCGAACGTCAATAAAAGAACTCATTCAAACATGTTTTAGAATATAAATATTTCTCTTTTATTTTTTTGAATAACCATGAAATTTAGATCATGAAGTAGTACAATATTTATCTCTGTGATAATTTGAACCATTTCTATTCAATACTTCATCTAATTATTTCATTTTTAATGCTATTGTTAGCCGCTTTATTTTCAAATTACCAATGTTTATATATTATGGAGGTTTTTTTCGCGGATACCGCTTCTTACAATGCAACTATACTAATGATTAATTAACATATATAGGTACAAGTGCAATTGATAATCAAAGTGAAGAAATCGTCGAAGAAGCTTTGAATCATGCTTGTAAAGGTATTAACCCTTTGAGTTCGAAATTATTTTTTCTGAATTGACGTAAACGAGACTGTCAGATTAGCTCATTTTACACAGAGAAACACATGAGAAAGCTATTTTTCACGTTCATATAATTTAGTCAATGTAGGTTTTATTAAATTTTGTTGTTCTTGAATGGAAACTTTAGTTGTAAAGTTTATTGATTTCAAACCTTATACAAATGTTTCATGAAATGACAAAAAACAATTTTTATTTCGTTTCACACAAAGAGAAACACCACAAAAACTGCATTTTATGCTGCTAAACACTGGACTTGACCTTGTACTGCAGTACCGACATCTTCCTCTAGACTCAGCTATAGGCATATGTGCTAGTAATTTACTAGGTGAAGATTTATTTGGCAACGTTTGTTGAATTTGGTTTCGCTTTTTGATGGAAAAGTGAATCGGTGCACCTTTTGTTTTCGATGACTTTTGATCAGCAATTAGTGACGTGGAGACAGAAGAGAGGAATTCTATGTAAGCTATCTTCTGTTCACTCAAATCATTATAACAGATGAATGCATTCGAAAGACTTGCTTGAAGAAAGTAAATAAATATACGGAACCAGTTTCGCTTGGATTTTCTGTCAATTGAATAGCAAGAGATTCGTTGATCAAACCTATCAACACCACCTTTGTATTTATTGTATTGAAATACCAGTTGTGGACAAATAATGACTTGTTTCGAGCCATCTTTTTGTCTTCTAGTAACGGTTTCCGTTTTTCTCGGATCAAAACAATTACTTGAAATAAATACCGGTTTCTTGTCTTGCCACTTGACCACTGATATTTGGTTATAAGTACAATACTTATATTCACCTCGTTTTAGTTTATCTTTTTGTAAGAGTTCTTTTGGAAATAACTTTCGATCAGTTCTGATTGTGCCAGTTGCTCCGATTTTCTTCCTTTCCAGTTGCAACAGTAGAGTGATCGATGTAAAATAGTTGTCAAAAAATAACTGGTGTTCTACTAGATTAATTTTGCTAATAAGCTTCAATACAACAATCTCACCTAATGTTCCTTGTCTATTCTCTTGTTTGCCAGAGTAGATATTGAAATTTTAAAGATATCCGGTTGAGCAATCTGCCAAACACCACACTTTGTATCCTAGCTTTATGGGCTTCAAAGGTATATATTGCTTCAACGAACTTTTTCCTATAAATTTTATCATGCTTTCGTCAATGCAGACGTTGGTTCCCAAAGTAAAATTCTCTTGAAAGTTTCTTTTCAGTAATGAAATGGGTGTGGGCGTGGGTGTGGGTGTGAGAGAAGGCAGCAGTCACAACCACACATACCTGTCACACTCATACCCACCTACATCCACACCCACACCCACACCCCACATAATAAAGAAAATCATCATAGGTTTAATCTTCTAATTTGATGAACTTAATAAACAGGAAAAAGATAATTAGTTACGGTTGTAAGTATATAAAAGAGCGTTATTTAGATGAGAGAATATATTCTTTAACATAGCAACAATATCAGCACACGATACAAGGCAACAAAGCCACGTCTCGATTATTATGGTTATTCATACATAAAATATCGATTAACAAATGAAAAAACTTATTGGCGATGCATAAAATATTCATCATATCATTGTCATTCTCGTTTACATACACGTAATATCACTTATAATATCGTAAAACCGTCAACCGAACATATTTTCAGATTTGATGTTGCAGTATTAGAACTTCGCATTTGATGAGCAGCTTGTTCATCGTGCTCGTAATACACAAGAAACACTAGATGGCATTGTCGCTAATTGTTTCAGGGGACAGATGTTCTTTCAAAACTTTTTACTGATAAATATCTCTTCTTTGTTCCTTCTAGATATGTCTGATCAAGTTGTTACTTGTTTAACATCTCGCGATAATATAAAACGTCGCATAAGAAAATTGTGTCACAGAAATGATTTTACAGCAGCACAAACTGATCCAAACTGCTCATCTAGCCCAAATATATTATGCAAAACTTTGCTCCAGGATCAATTTCTATGCTCTGACACTGGTCCAGGTATGTCGCATTCAATACATCTATTGCTACAGCGAATAATTTTACCTTCACTAATATAAGCGCTGATAGAATTTTAATATTTTGGGTGTGGGTGTTGGCATGCCTCACGGTGAAATCGATACCTACAAACACTCTTAGCCACATCCAACACCCACCCCACTCCACCCTTAAAAGAAATATCAACAGAACCATAAATGAATAATATACAACTATGAGTAACAGAACAGGACAAATACAGGCATACCGACCGAATATGGCTCATCTTATATAAATACTTTATTTGGTTGAAACATGTCTGTTGTAGGCAAAGAAAAGAAACATACATACAACCACAACCACGCACATACTAATTCGAGTTCTTTAGTGAGACTTATCCACTGGGAAATAACAAAGTGATATTAACAAAAAAAGTGACTTATGAAATTGAAAGCTGAGTACGATTGAATATAGATATATACTTGTTATTTTCAGATGTCATCATTAAGATCGGAAAGCAAGATCAAAATTGCTTTTGCATGGCTGTGCATTAGCGATTAGTAGTGTTAGTTAACGAACCAAATATATTATCTCTATGAAAACATTCCAGGAACACACCATCCATGCCAACCGATAAGGGATCTATCACCTTCCGATGACTTTCTTCGAATTGGCTTCCAACACAAATTTTTTAGACTAATTCCGATAGTTTTCATCTAAATATCTGTCAATAGTCTTCGGTACTGAACGGGACTCGTCTGATAAAAAACGCGTTGGAATTTGGCGGTAAAGCATTTGTCGGGACTGAATAGATTCTACCAGAAAACAATGGAACGTACAGGAGCCATTATTAGAAAGAAGTTAATTCGGACATTAAAAATACTTTGAATTTAAGAGATACATATTTAGATATCATTCCAAATGATTAATAAGAAACAAAAAAACATTAAGTTTTACATGCAAATGAGATCGGTTCATGTTTTTTTTGGAACCTAATCGAATTGACTCAGTTTCTAACAAGTTCGATATGAAACCAATTCCGTCTCCGGTCTTAGACATATTTTCCGCAATTAATAATAGATAATGCGAGATAAAAATAATTTTTTTCATAAATTAAGAAATTGCTCAAGGAAATCTAAAAATTCAAATAATCTCAGCAATGCTTTTTATTTTACAGATTTCATGTTATGATATACTTTAATCAAATACATTTTGTTTTACGCAAACCGTCATAGCAATATACATCCGTTATTAGGTTTAGTTTTTACGGCAATCAATTTCAAATGTCGCCATTGTACAGTTCCACTTGTATATTCATCAAAATAATGATAGGCATTATCTGCATGATACCAATCACTTTCGATGAGTTTAGGTTCTTCAGATTCATTTGGTTGTTTTATACCTTCATATTTCCACNATCAAAATAATGATAGGCATTATCTGCATGATACCAATCACTTTCGATGAGTTTAGGTTCTTCAGATTCATTTGGTTGTTTTATACCTTCATATTTCCACCAACAATTATTAAAAGCACACAATGTTGGATTAACATATTTGGAACATCTCGGACATTTTGTTGTTTTCCTACTTGGATCTTTCAAAATATCAAACTCAGTGTACCCCATGGACATAATGACCTTTTGATTGTTAGCTTCACATGTTTCATTTTTACATATTCCTTCTAAACACAAGCCATCAGATGCTTCTCGCCACTTTGGAGCAGTTTTTGCCCAATCTTTTCTTTTTAAACCTGCATCATTATTGACATCAACAAACGATACTCCGATATTCGGATTACGACCCGTAAAGTTATTATAAGTCAAAGTAAGCATAGAATCTGGTCCTATACTATAATCCGAAAGCGTTTTATCATCTTCATCCAGTTTAATTGCATTTAGAGCTAGAAGCAAGTTTTTAGGATCTTCCTCTTGATGGGCCTTCTTAAGATAGTAGTGTTTGAGTTGTCGAATAGTTGTTGTTTGTTCAACATCGAAGACATAGTTTCTTGAACCTCCAACTGTTGTTGTAATATAAACCTGCATAACTTTACTAGTAATAAACTTCTATAAAAATATTTAAGCAAGACAATTCATAAAGTAATGTTTAGTTGAAATAATTTTTATTTTCTGGTCATCGTTGTATTAATCGCAGATAGAAAAGGAAATCAAAGTCAATCTTTCGTGATAGACAAGTTTACTTTTTTTTGAATGAAAGGCAACAGCATGAAAAAGTATTACGAATTAAATATTTTGA